GAGCTCCTGGGGCGTTGCTGTTGTTGCCGTTATAGCTGTGGCGGTCCTGCCCGCCTTGCCGATCCCCATTGCTGTACCGGTATTCTTGGTTACGATGACCTTGTTGGCGTTCATGCTGCTGACGACCTCTTGCGCCGCCGCCGCCGTAGTTCCGGTTTTGTAGTATACATGTCGAATTGTCATGACGTGAAGTTTTGTGAAGAGTGCACCAGTCTCCTTTTCGACCGCCGGGAGCGTTGCCCGTTAGTCTCTTGTTGCGTTTCCAGCAGTGTTGGGTGAGATGCCCTTTCTTGTGGCAGAAGCTGCAGGTCTTGGTAGTTGAAGCCACCATGGCGGACGAGCGGCCCTTCGCAGCACGCGAAGACCCACTTGCCTCCTTGCGGTTGATGTAGAGGTTGCGCATGGTGTACAGGGCTTGTTCCAAAGTGAGGTCGTCCTTGGTCTCCGCTTCGTACTTGATTCCAGAGTAAAGCTCCTCCGGTAGGCAGTCCAAAATGATGTTCATGAACTGGTCGTCGGGGATGGGACTCCCCAGCAGCTGTAGCTCATCCCGCAGCTCGGTCATGTCGTGCATGAAGGCGTCCGGATCCATATCCACGTCCATGGTCATGTTGTAGAGCTTCTTGAACAAGATCTTCTGCCGCTGGCGAGAAGGGTTGCGATATTTCTTCACAAGAGCCTTCCACGCCACTATCCCATGAAACATCATGTCCGGTTTCGGTTTGAACGTAGCGACAAATTTCTTTGCCGCACCGGTGGTGCACATAGAGAGAAATGCACCAAGCATCGTGTTGGAGCTGTGCCACGCGATGATCTCGTCTCGGTTGATGATGGTCACAGGCATTTCCCACAAAATAGCAGCCGGAAGCTCTGTAGTAGTCGCGTAGGTGAACTGAACAGGAACATCTGAAGGGGCGTCGGAGTTGTCGCCACCGTCTTCGTCGCCGCCGTCGATTCCTGCTACTGCTGCAGCCGATGCTGCAGCCGATGCTGCCGCCGTTGCTGCTGCCTGCAACGCTGCATCGCTCGCTGCTGCTGCCGCGCCATTGTCGTCGTTGCCTGCTAGGATGGCGGCTGATGTTGCTGTCCGGGCTACCGTGGCGGCCGCCGTTGCGGCCGCGGCATCCGCGGCTGCCTTGCTTTCAAGTACTGATGTAGCTGCCGCACGGCGTCGCTCCCGTGAGAGGGAACGACCCCGCCGCACGGCTTGGTATTTGGGTTCAGGGCATTTTTGACCTTGGATGATCGAAAGAATGCCTTGGCCGCGGAGTCTGAAACAATCCATCGCCTGCTCATACCACTCGGTAAATCCGCTGCCGCTAAATTTGCCCGCGGACCGTATCATTTTGTCAACGATATCCGCTTGTTTTTGCTCGTCCATCTTGAGTAGACGCTGCTGTAGACGCTGCGATGAACTAGATGACGTGGGTTGAAGTTACGCTCACGTACGTTGACGTGTCGAATGTTGTACCCGTTCGCAAGGAAGCTAACAGTCCCGCGAAAGAAAATGGGCTACCGCTCTACTTGGGTACCCGGGGTGCTTACGGCGATAGAAGCCGATGTCGTGGCGTACGTCTCGGAAGTACGTCCCGATGTAGTGGCGAAGCTGCTGAAGAACTTGCCGAAAGACGGTGTGATTAACTCGTCGTCCTGGTGTTCCGTCGAACCCAGGCGCTCTTCTTCTAGAAAAAACTCCGCAGAAAAATGCGGAACGTTGAAATCTCCCGCTGGATCGGGTGGATGATGAGGGTAGCTTGTAGATAGAGCGTGTAGAACGTGAAGTGGACGATCCGTGATGAAGCCGTGGAAGAACCGACGAACTCGATGGAAGTCTTCACGTGCCGTCCCGAAGAAGAAAATGCTGGCCAGCTGTTTCTTCGGAACTCGATGCGGTGCGCCTGTTTCTTGGGCTGTACGCGACGCTGCTGAACAGTCGATGCTGCTGCTGATGCTCCCTCTTGCCGTGAAGTAACGAAGGCGAATAACCTGTTGGGATGTAACCTCGTGATGGGTGTATCCCTGGATGTGGCAAGCACTGTGTAGAAACAGTGTGCAGAGGCTCACGTGTGACTGTTAAGTACACTTGTGTAAAGACCAGATTGATGGTTTGAAGTGGCTCTTAGTTGGCCGAAAGGTAAGGAAAAGAAGAAGAGTGATCGAGAGGGGGCGAGCACCACAGGGGGCGAGCCTCCAAGCTATCACAGAAAGATGCACACACACGGGTCATTTCAACATCCCGCTTTCTAGAAATAGGCGGCTAGTCCGACCTCTAGAACGGATCTAGAAATGATATGCGTAAGTGCATAATCTACAGAATTCTCCATAGCTGTGTATAATCTACCGAATTCTCTTACGGTGATTACCTACGTGCTGTGCTTACAGCAGTACAAAAATCAATGACTGACATTGAATATACCAACA